AATTGGCTCATTTTGACCCAGAAAAAAAAAAAAAAAAAAAAAAAAAAAAAAAAAAAAAAAAGATGACAAGCACTCAATACATATTGGGCAAGAAATGTAATACTCCTATTAGTTTATTTAGGTAAATACATTTTTTTTTGAAACAAACACTTATATGATATGAGTCGACTCATTTTTAAACCGCTCATTAATTTTCAACCTGTTTTTTAATTATCTGAAATATGAGCGAGTTTGATTTTGATATATTTTTGTCGAATTCATTTTCAACCCACCCTAACACGCGCCGCCTAGGCGCCAGGCCGCCAGCCACCACTACTCTTCAGTCAGATATCAACGAAAATTTTATTTAAGAGCAGAAAAATGTGCCAAAGTATTTAAAATTAATTGATAACTCTATATAATTGTAAGCTTAGTAAAGTAATGATCCTCTTAATTAGCCGCGTCTTGACCAAGTATGATAATGAAACATTAAATTTAATAAATCCTAATGCTTAACCAAAAATGAATTTTTACCTCCTATAGCAAAGGTTAACACCTTATTTATTTTAAATAAATATCATTTAAAAAAATTATGTTCTATAGATACCTTTTAAGGTTTATAGCAAAATATTTTAATTTTAGTTACCTCCTAGCCCTAAGCCACTAAATACGCTAATCAGTTACAATATTATCTTTCTCTCTCTACTTTGATACATCTCATTCTCTTCCCCCATCCCATTAAAATTTTCGATTCTCTTCCTCTTCTCTGTCTAGTTCGCTTGCGATTTCTCCTCCGTTGATACAACATTATGAATTTCCCCGACTTGTACAAAATATATTTGTATGATGTAGTTTCCCCATTTTCTGAAAATGGTTAGCTTCCCGGAGTTGTACCGTACTGCACCGTCGCCGGTGTGCCGAAGTCTTTTGTAATCCATGAAATCCTCATCTTGTCTTCACCAACCATGAAAATATGCACCTGAAAGTGTGAGATGACTAAATTTGTAATACTAACTGTATGGTCTAAAAGCTTAAACACTCATCGATCTAATTGATCTCAACCGAATTGTCCGATGTATCTTCACCGTTCAGCAATTTTTCTGAAAATTCACCTCCGAGGATTATAACCCTAAAGAAGATATGCAGATGGTCATCATGAATTTGAAGTATTTCAAATGCAAGGCCCATCCCCTCCACTAGATTGTTATCTAAAAAACTTCATTTCTTATTTATCATTTTCTTTCTTCTACTGTTCAAACTCATGCTCTAAGATTTTTTTTCCATTGTAATTCAATGTATCTCGTTGTATTCTATGTATTTCAATGTATTCACTGTCTTTTTTTCTTATTATATTTCAATGTATCCCGCTGTATTCTATGTATTTTATTGTATTCACTATCTCGATATATGCCATGAATGTATTCATAAGTTTTTTTTAATTAATATAATTTATGTATTCAGATGTATTATATAATTTCTATGAAGATTGCTATGTTTTTGGGGTATTTTTCGGTTGAGAATCTTTTTTATAACTGAAAGTACAAAATTTGTGTGTTATAATTGAGTTTGTTAAGTTATATTAGGAGTCTATTATGTTAATTGATTTACTTTGCCTTTTAAAAACAATGTAATCCCTTATTTCACGCCGTGAATTCAGTCGAATATAATAATCTGTCCAGCTATAATCCCATGTTTCACTCCATAAATACAGTCGAATACACTCGAATACAACAACTGATTAGCTGGACTTCCTTGATTCACGCCTATTTTTGCTACTGTATTCATGAATACAATAGCTTAAATACATTAAATATATCTTATAACCACATAAAATGTATCTATAATCCGTAATATAGCAAATGATATCTATAGATGACTAATTACTACTAATAGATAGTGCTTTATAAAAAAATTCCAATAAAAAATCCACGGTATTAAACTTTTTTAATGGTCCAACTATCTGTTTCTGCTAGTAATACAAATGGGAAAATAGCAAACAATTGTATGAAGTCTCTCTTGTAAATAGATTAACAATAAAAACAGAGGTGGCCGGTGAGATGAAGCAAACCATAAAATTCATTGAAAAGCCAATTCTTTTTTTTTTTTAAGTCAAAACATTGTTATATGATATAACCAGAAAAATGCACTAACATTATGGCCAGCATTTTCATTGACAGGCAAGATATCTTTTGTGCATATGTTTTTTCCTTTCTCTTTTCCCCTGTTTTGGTTCATCAATTTAATTTCCTTTTGACACAGTTCTTTGCGTGCTGAAATAAAAGCATGTATTAGACGTTTCTAGGGGCACGTTTTGCCATAGAAACAGTTTCTTTTTTTCGATTTTTTAAAAACTTGAAAACAAATATCATTTTTTCCCCGAAATTTCATAATTCTTATGTCCAAACACCCACTAAATACGTACAATTTTCAATTACTATTCACAAATACTTTCTTGGGAAGTGAGAGTCTGTGTCCTACCAAAAAGCAACTGAATAGAAGTCTCTATAATGAAACGAAAATTGACAACCTCAATATTTTTTCCTAAAGCTATTTCTTAGTGAAGTTGCATTCAAAATAGTTAAGAGTTTATCATGTCAATGAAAAATAGTCATTATTTTGCTGTAATAGAGATCGGTCCAACATAATATATACTTCAGTATATTATGTTGGACCGGTATACTTGCTGGAACTCTAATATATTATGTTGGAGTTCTAGTGTACTTATGCTAGAACTCCATCATATTATGCTGGAGTTCCAACATACTTATCCTGGAACTCCAGTATAATATGTTGGAATTCAAGTATACTTATGCTGAAACTCTACCATAATATACTGGCGTATTTTTCGGGTTTTGAACAGTGTTTTCGCTCAGATTTATCTTTACATGAAAAGTGGCTAAATTTCGATTACTTTTGAAATTGAACTATTTTTGAACGACAAGTTGTAAATCTGACTATTTTAAAATTTCTCCCAATATAGAGTCATCTTTGTGCGAATCCGAATTTCATCGGGCCTCAAGGTGGATACCAAACACCGGGTAAAAAAAACAAAAAAACTATCGAACAAAAAAAGAAATTAAAGAAGAAGATGCTAACACGTCAGCTCTACTAATCACTTTTGAGTACTTTTAACCTAAATGATCCAGTTTAGAACGTCATTAATCGTAATCATTTGCACATACAATAATGGCCAATTATATTCCACGAAGTATTCCCATTCAAAATCATTTAAGTTATGATAAGTCAATCACTTATACATTTTGCAGTTTCACAAATTTTAAACTCTTCGATGTATCATATTACACATAAAAGAAATTAAACACAAGATCAATCACTACTTTTTAAAGTGAATTTCATAATCTGCCCCTTAATACCTTGTACTTCACTGGAGCAATACATGGTTGAACACATGAAGTTACGAAAAAAATGAAGCCGGAAAATCAATCTAAAATTTCACTAGATTTCTCCCACACTGAACTAGTATTTCAATTAAGTAAAAGCAATCAATTTTTTAATCTCTTATCTTTACTTTAAGCACTCCTAAGCTCCTGTTTGGCCATAAATTTTAACACTATTCTTTTAATATTATTTTTTAAAATATTATTTGTTGATGGAATATGATCAATTTCTGAAAGAAAATAAATCAAGTTCCTAATAATTGGTTTATGACAATTTTTGGGTGAAATTTTTTCTTCCACTCAAAAAATTCTAACATTTTTAACTTACTAAAATTATTTTTCCACACAACATTATTTTTTTTTATTTAAATATTTAACCAATTTTATGTTCAAACGCTAGCTAAATTTCGATAAGACACACAAGGTTAGAAGAGAAATAAATGTGAAGCACCCGTCCCCTCAATTCCTTTTTCCGTCAAACAGGATTCCTTCTTTTCTCTACAACTTTTTTCCCAAAAATTGCAACAAAGGGCTGGCAATTTGTCCTTTCTTTTCCCTCTATTGGAAAGGTTCCTTTTTGTTTTCCCCTCTTATTAATTTCAAGTAAATCTTTTTTTGGTTTCTCATCCGGTGTCCGGTACCCGTATTGAAGCCCGACTATATCCGGATTCGCGCCGCGTAGGGCCCTATTCTGAGGGAAGCGCTCCCTACCAATGATTTTTCCATACCCAGGGCTCGAACTCGAGACCTCTGATTAAGGGAGGAGTAGTCTCATCCACTATGTGGTTCAAGTAAATCATAATCTCAAAGAAAAACAAAATATTGGCTAATCTGGTGACAGTTGGCTCAATAAAGTCTATTTCGCCCCTCCGTTTTAACTAATACAGTAGTCATATGAACATTACAAAAGGCTAATTCTTAAAATTTTAATCGGAAACTTATTGGACTCCACAATCATATAATTTAAAAATATTTAGAATATTTTCCTAGTCTTATGAAACATTTTAAAGGGAAAAATTCAGAATTAGCATGATTATTAGTAATTGAAAATTAGCTATAATTTTAAAATTAAAAAAAAAATTAATCATTTTTAATGCGAAGGTAATATTTGGACAAGAATATCCAACTTAAAAGAGCGCAAATACTCGTTTTATTTTTTATTTTTTCCGCTTTAACTCCAACGAGAGCTGGAGTTAAAAATTATAAGACAACGTCTTATTTGAGTTTCACTATTTTTACTTGGAGTTCCAGCATAATATACTTGAATTTAACTTCTAAAAATTAGAACTCCAGTATAATATGTAAAAATTCACATACAGAATATCTTGTTTGGGTTCCAACATTTTTTTCTTGGAATTTCAATATAGTTTGCTAAAATTCAACTTCTAAAAGTTCGAATTCCAACGCAACCCTGTATAGGGTGTCTTTTGTGCTAGAGTTTATATACAAGAATTTCATAATTTAACATATTATGTGGACCTTATTTCGGTAAAATATATTTTTGTCCAAAATTTATTCTCGTATTAAATAATAATTATTTTATAATCCGAAAATTGGCCAACTTACTCTATTTTGACCATTTTAAAGTGTTATGTCAAATACACAGAATCTCAAATTGATGATCTCTTCGTACAGTAGTACTAGTAGATTCCATTTTCTCTCCTTAACACTCTCCGCATTCGACACTTGTGACTTGTTGCTTGACTCACGCACCACATCACCGTATAGCAAGCAAAAATGGGAAACCGGCGGTTAGCGGTGGTAGCGATAAGCGACGACGAGGACGACGACGACAAGTTGCCGCTATCGCGTGTAACACGCGCTTCCAACAACGGCGAAGATAAAGCGAATAGTCAAAGGAAGCGTAAGAAAGTGAAGCTCGACGAAGAAGAAGAAGAAGAAGAAAAGCCACAGGAGGAAGAAGAGGAAGCGAATAATGATGATGAAAGTAGAGATAAGAGGAAGAAGAAGAGGAAAGTGACGGAAAATGAGGAGGAGGAGGAAGAGGAAAGAGGCCGGGGGAAGAGGAATAAGAAGAAGAAATTTGACGAAGAACCGGAGGTTGAATCGGAACCTGAACCGGTTGAAGAGGAGGAGGAGGAGGTGGAAGAAGAACAGCTGGAAGATGCTAAGCCTATTGGTGAGGTAATTAGGGTTACTGGAAAAGGTAAAGGGAGGAGAAACCATTACGAGTCTTTTGAGTACGATGGAAATCGCTATGAACTTGTGAGTTCTCATTCCTTTGCTTTATTTCATCGAAAAATGCTTCCGAAATGTTATTTATTGAAATTTTGTTTGTGTTTTGAAAAAATTACGGCTTTTTTCCATGACCTGTAGCTGAAATTAGGGTTTGAAAAATGTTACTTATCACTCATTGGTTGCATTTGGAATGATAGAAATTGGAAAGTACATTACCTCGACTATTGCAGCGGACCTGGCCACCAGCACAGATACTCTGCCCACCAAGGCTTAGCCTGATGGGAAGAAATTAATCATCTAGTAGTGTTTAGGATAATATTTCCCCATTTCTGATGCTTATTAGGGGACTCCTTTACAAAATGATTTCTGATAGAACACTTTTCATGAAAATTATTTTCCTTGGTAAACATTTCATCCATAATGCTTGAAGGAGTTGATTTCATGGATCCCCTCTGCTTCTTAGTTTCTGATTGTTTGGTTTATTGATAGAGTTTAATGGGGTATCAATAGGAATGGGTTTCTGGATGCCCTTTACTTCAACATCAGAAAATACTGCAAACAGCTAGTTTAGATATGGATTCACTTTGATTTAATGAGTGTCATTTGATGTTGTAATGGCTACTTTGTAAGGAGTTGGAGAAATGAGAGGGCTGATTAATCTGAATTAGTATCTCTCCTGGTAGAAGTGTATCACCCTAGCTTGAATATAGTGGAAGAGGCTTGGTTTGGTGTGCCTGGATGTTGGTATGAGAGTTGAGGAGATTTTGTGCAATCAATATCAACTCTAGTTTTGCCCCCAGGGCCTAGCTCAAGTGGCAAAGGGTGATGGATTTGTGTCTTAGGTCACAGGTTCAAGCCCCCACACCATGCAAAGCAAAGCCTGGTATTTAAGTGGAGAAGGGTAGAGGGGCGGGCACATTATCCACCGAGTTTCGAAGGCTGCGGTTGGTCCAAAGGATCGGCCCCAGACAGATTTCTCGGTCATAAAAAAAAAAATCAACTCTAGTTTTTTTCTTCCATGAAATTTTACTTGGCTGTTTCATCCCCTTTGAACAGTATTATCTGTAATTGCATTGGCTAGGAACTTTGTTAAGTGTGTTATAGCTATTGTTCTCCTGTGGTTGCTCTTATTACTAAGTTTTGTTCTTCTACAGGAGGATCCCGTGCTCTTGGTTCCAGAAGCTAAAAATCAGAAGCCTTATGTGGCAATTATCAAGGTAATTCTTTTTCAGGAAGATACATGATTCTTTTGGAAATTAAATAGATGCACAACTTATGTGAATGCATATGCTATTTCCCAGTCAGGAATCAGGTCAGTTGCATTATTAGTTTGGTTGTAGCATGCAAACTAAGCTTATATGTTAAGTATTTCTCTTTTCTGCTGCGAAATTTGGGCACTCAATTTGATCTGGATCTTAACTGCATTTTGCCTCATCTAGTGCCCCATCAGAGAATGTTTTCTATTTGGTGGTGCTGAAAGTCTGAGTAAAACTCCTTGAGTTGGGAGTACAAAAGGGAAGGGAAGAAAACAGAATCAAAGCATTAAATTGTAGCGTAAGAAGGAAAGAGCAGACGAACGATAACTAGTCTAGAAAAAGATAATAGTTGCTCTCACCTAAATACAGGCATCTATTTAAAGTTGGGGTGAAAAGAGGAGGTAGTTGCTGGAAGGTAAGTATTTCCTTTGATTGGTAGGTAATGGAAGAGGAACTGAAGTGAAAGTGGAACATATGCAAAGTGCCCCGTTCGCGTTTCATGTCTTCTAAATTTGACAAAAAGGAAGGTTGTTGAACCCTTATAGTGTCTAGACATGGAAACATGCAGGTTTTTTGGGGGGAGAAAAACTTGCTTGAGTTTCGCTGTCACTTTTGATTCATTTAGGCTCTAGTTTTTTGGCTTAGCAAGTAATTTAGGAACAGAGGGAAGACAACATGTCAGGAGGCTCCGTTATAATTCTTCGCTCAGATAGTTCTAAATAAGCAGTCTGTTTCTTGGAGAATCGATTATCCATATGAGCATATCTTTTTATCTGCAGCATCCTGAATTACTTTTCTAGTTTTGGTAAAAGAGTGACCAGTATTTTATCTGCAGCATCCTGAATTACTTTTCTAGTTTTGGCATGAAATTCTTGGTAACGTTTGCTTCTCTGAATGTTAATTTATTGTGGTTATCACTTCTACTCTTTTTCTGGATTTTTCCCCCCTAATAGGATATTACTCAGACCAAGGATGGGAACATGATGGTCACAGGACAGTGGTTTTACAGACCCGAGGAAGCTCAAAGAAGAAATGGTGGAAATTGGCAATCACGAGACACGAGGGAATTGTTCTATAGTTTTCATAGGGACGAAGTTCCCGCAGAGTCAGTCATGCACAAGTGTGTGGTGCACTTCATACCGTTAAACAAGCAGATTCCAGGTCGGAAAGAGCATCCTGGTTTTATTGTTCAAAAGGTATATGACACTGAGCAGATGAAGCTTTTCAAGTTAACAGACAAGGATTATGAAGATACCAAACAGCAGGAAATTGATCTGCTTGTTCATAAGACTATTGCACGAGTTGGGCATCTTCCTGACATTGAAACTGAGGATAATTCTGCAGCTCCTGTTAGTCAGGAAGACCAATTGAAGAGTAAACGACTTTTGAGGAAGAAGAGCATGACGCCTTTGGATGTCACCAGAGAAGATGAAGCACCAACTAGATTTGGTCAATCTAAAGCAGAAACTCCAGGCAGTTGTCCCAATAATGCATCAGAATACTTCATCATCCTTTCAAACTTCAATGTCCTAACTGGTGAAACACAGCGTGACAAATGGCTGGAAAAACTGCTGCAGTCAATTCAGTTTTTGTGCAATCCTGTGGATAATGTACAAAATGATGGTAAAGAAAAAGGGGGCTCAGATGTTACTGATTTTACTGGTAATACCGGTTCTGCAAAGCATGTGAATGAGTCTCTAGACGATGGTGCCAATGTAAGAATTCACTTTCCAATGATTTTGATGACTGACAGAATTTATGTATAGAATGCTAGTCTCTATTCAGATTTTCCTTGAAATGTTTGTTCTCTTGGATTAAATTCAGGGTGATAAGTTTCGATGGCCAGACAGTGCTGTCCCTGCCGTAGTCGCTCTGGAGAAAGCTGCACACGAGGCTCTCTCATGTGATTTTCAGAAGTACAATCAGAAGATGAGGCAGTTAACATTCAATCTTAAGGTTAGTACCCTTTTTCTTTTGAGCAGATGGGGGTATGAGTTCGTGAGTTTATTGTTTTTTCTTCTAATTTTCTATGTGAATATATTTCTACCTTCTAATTGTCGATTTTTCTCGATGTTGTTGTTCTATTTCCAGAACAATTCTTCCTTATCAAAAACATTCCAGAACAGCTCACTCTTAGCACGCCGTCTTCTGAATGGGGAGTTGGATCCCTCACAAATACTGAACATGTCCCCCAATGAGCTAAAGGTATGAGCACAGGGAAAATAATTTACTCAATTTGTCGATTAATTTTTTTGTTTTTTGCTTCATATGCAAATATCCTAAAATGCTAGAAATAATAGTCTGTTTGTGTTTTGTTGATTTCTGGATCGGTAGGTCTTGCTTTGGTGGTCTGACTGACCGTTCGTGAATCCACCATGTGCAACCTAAATAGGTTTACCACAATTCATGAAATCTAAATATTGTTCAGGTGTGAATAAAGTAAAGCTGATTTTGGAAACCAAAATATGATTGAGCATTTTTCACAAATAAACGCACTCAAAAAAGGAAAATCTGATATCCCTTGAGACCTTTTGGGAATTAAATATTGGCTTACTCACCCC